CCCCCGCCCTAGACGAAATCCTAAATCCGCCCTTGTGTGGAACTCTGTACATTTGTCTTGCTCATACAGAGAAATATTTCCATCACGCGTATAACATACAACAACATATTAAGCAGGTATACCTGTATCGAGGCTGACTGCTGGCGTCCTATGTTTAGACATCGTTACCATGTGATCGGTACTATTGGTAGCGCAGGCGAAACATTTCTAGACCGCAACCAGGGACTTATTGTATAGGCCTGTTTGATTGACTTGATCGATGTTTTTGTAATACATGCTTGTAGCTAACCTTTCATTTCCCACGCATACTCGCGGTAACGATTTTGCGTGCATATATTGGATGACAGCACGAATTTCGCTCCTGGCATAAAGGGCTCCATTGCGCATGACTGTCGGGCCGGTACTAAGCATTGCAAATAGGCGCTTCTTGTTGGGATCGGTGATGGGGAAGTCGACAAACACGACGGTGTTGCCAGATTTCGCCTAGCATCACGCGCGGCAAAGATTCAGCGTTAGGAACCTTATTTTTAAGACAACCCTCGTATTTTGAAATACGTGGTAAGGATCAAATTTATTGACTCGATAACGTTTTTGCTTAGTGTAGCTACATGCATCTAAATCACCAGACATTCGAAAACGCAGTTGACATGACCATTTCTCATTTAGTATAAATGCTCGGCACAGATGTGCTGAGGTTCGCAAGTTCACCACCTACCGATTAACCAGACAGCATCTGTCTTGTAAACAGAAGAACCCAGACTTCGCTGAGAGAAACGTGATATCTCTGTACAGGAAATCGAGCGAAGGCAATTGTTATTAGAAATCGCGAGGTGCATGTTATTGTAAGATAAATCAAGGAAGTATATTATGGAGATGTTTTTAGAATACGGTATTTCTTGTATACAGGGAAATCCTGACGATTCCTTGAAAAGCGTCACCTTAAAGACCTTTTGCAATAAATTAACTTCATCATTTGGGAGCACTTATAATATATTTTTTGAACTTTCTGATTCATCAATAAAACAATCTCAAAAAATATTCCTCCTTAGGCATATACCTGAGCTCGTAAGATTCTTATCCCTTACTTACAGGGCGACCCAAACGAAAAGTTCGCACCCCCATTTGTGACTCTCCTGGTATATAGCCGTACAATATAGGGTGATCCGAAAATAAGATTGCGTTACATTTATTGTTAAAAAAAATGGAAACCTCAATTTTTTTATATTTCTAGATTCTCCATGAAGCTTTTAGTAGCTTTTTAAATAAAGTCTACACCTATCTTCAATCATTGTCAAGCTATTTGAGTTTATTATAAAATTATAGAAACTGAGATAATAAGGGATTATGTCGTAAAAATAATAATCAATGTAGCTGCCACGGTAACAAGACTACTTTAAAATTAACAACAAGTCTCCGAGTATTAAAAAAACAAAAAACAACTTACACTTTACACGCACATCACCGTTAAAGTAAAAATTAATTTGATATAAAGATGTAGGTCAATGTGGTAATATGTGCTGAAAGTGGTGTCAATTTACCTCGTTGCAATAATAAAGATATTGTTCGAGTCTATGCTTCACATTTTCTTAAGTTATTTGTCTACATTCAGCCGTAATCCACTAAGGAAGATCTTGGAAGGAATCTGGATCCATACTAAAAACTCTACTTTTCAAATGCCCCCAAAGAAAGTAATCTAAAGACTTAGGTCCGAAGATTTCGGCGGCTACTCGATGGGGCCTCGTCCGCCGATCAACGAGCTCCTTCCGACTTGGCCCAACTATTGAAATCTTGAAAGATCCTAAAATTAAAAAAAATGGGAGTTTCTATTTAAAAATCTAAAGTATAACCCAATATCTTATTTTTGTATCACCCGGTATCGTACGACTAGAAATCAAAATTGACATGTCCGAGCGTTTTTCCCAAAATATACCAGGAGAGTCACAAATGGGGTGCGACCTCTTCGTTGGGCCATCCTGTATACATCATAAATAAAATATATTTGATAACGAGACTTTCATTTAATGTAGACGTTCGATAGAAGGAAAAGCAAATGCTCAGAGCAAAAGGTAGAAGTAAAAGCATTTGCTTCTTTTAATACTGGGTGAGGTGAATAAAAGAGAGTAAATGCTTTTACTTCATAATTTTAAAGTAAATTCTTGGTAGTAAGGTTGGTTTGATATTACCTTGCCGCAATTGATAATTTGAAGTGTCTAAATTATGGCAGCATTTATGAATATATACTAAGTGACATATAAATCCGAACACCCAGTTTAAATGGTTTTATTTTAATAAAAGTTGGTGAATGTATTTATCTTACTGTAAATAACAAGCGAAACAATTTTCAGCCTTATCAGTTGGACATTCCGGTTTTTATACTGTTTTTTTTAATTCACTAACGCTCTAAAGATGAATATTTCAGCCGCAGTAAAGAATCAACGTTGGCGGATTTTGGTTATTGACATCCTTTACGATCGGTTACGATGCCTAAAGTACGGAGACCTGTACGATTTCGTCAACTTAGTGAGTTTGATAGGGGCCGTATAGTGGGACTTCGGGAAGCTGGACTTTTTTTTCGGGCAATTGCAGATAGGGTGCAAAGAAGTGTAGACACTGTGGTTAGGTGTTGTCAGGCATGGCTTCGAGAAGGCCGTACGCAAAGAGCAAGGGGCACTGGACGCCGCCGTAGAACAACAGACCGTGAAGATCGCCGCCCAAGATTATTGGCCTTAAGGGACCGTTTCTCCACTACCAGGTCCATTGCAAACGAATGGTTTGCAGAACACGGAAGACCTATTGGCATGCGAAGTGTTTACCGACGAATGAGAAGTTTTGGCTTGTTTTCATACCGGCCACACTGGGTCCTTCCTTTAACTCGAGAACACCGACGTAATCGCCTTGAGTGGTGCAGACAACGGTCACGCTGGGATCAGGAATGGAACAGTATTGTCTTTAGTGACGAGTCTCGATTTTGTTTAGGCATGCACGATGGCCGTGCCAGGGTTAGAAGGCGACGTGGTGAAAGGAGGAATCCACAGTTTTTTGTTGAAAGACATGTTCATCACACTGTTGGAGTTATGGTTTGGGGTGCTATAGCTTATGGTTCCAGGTCACCTTTAATCTTCATCAGAGGTAACATGAACGCGAAGCGTTATATCCACGAAGTTCTAGAACCCCATCTTTTACCCTATCTTGACACTGGCAGATCCAACTTTCCAACAAGATAATGCCCGACCACATGTTGCAAGAGTCACAATAGACTTCTTTCAACATAATGATGTCACATTGTTACCATGTCCACCAAGATCTCCCGACTTATCCCCAATTGAGCACGTGTGGGACATGATGGGTAGGAGATTGCTCAATTTGCAACGTCCTCCTCAGACTCTAGAAGCACTTCGAGAGGAGTTGGTGGTTGCCTCGAATGAGATACCACAGGAGGACATTGACCACCTGATCAGAAGCATGCCTAGGCGCGTTGGAGAATGCGTAGCACATCAGGGTGCATCCACACATTATTAAAGGTCAAAGGGCTTTAAAGCAGTGCAATCATTTTGATATTTTTATCATTCACTTATTATGCTTCATTAAGTACTTATACAAAGTTTTATTAAAATAAAACCATTTAAACTGGGTGTTCGGATTTATATGTCACTTAGTATACGTAAAGTTAAACAATATCGTGATCGAACAGATATAAGTCCAAATAGTGCAAAACGTCTTTTACGGTTTGAAAATGAAAATATCGATTTCATTACAATCTATTTCTTACCAGAAACCAACGAAAATCCTCAAGAAAATATATTGAAATATTTCTCCGGTATATTAGTCACCCTGGTTTTCAAAGTGGTGTTGCAAACAACCGTTTGTAAGACTGTAGATTATGTTGCACAAAAAAATATGGTGAAGGCAGGTCAATGGATAGTGTTTCGAACAACCGAACAAGATGTAAACGAATCAAAGTTGGATGGCAAAATACAGGATTCCCACCGTAATTTGCGCACTTGACTGTACCCATATACAAATTAAAAAACCTGAAGGGCAGTTTGGCGACGAGTCGATAAATAGGAACAATGTTGCTTCATTAAATGTTCAGATGACATGTGATGCAATGGAAAGGATCACAAGTATAGACGTGCAATGGCCTGGAAGTGTGCTATAGTAGGATTTGGAGACAAATTGTTGTTCAACAAAAACTTGCAAGATTCCAAGGGAATACTTGCTTGCTAGGGGACAGCGGATATGGTATATCTCCATGGCTTTTAACACCATTTAGACAACCACAAACTGAATTAAAACGGCGGTACAACAGATTAGATTCAAAAGAAAGAGTTGTAATAGAACGTGTATTTGGCCAACAAAAACAGCGCTTCCCAATTCTAGCAAATAGGATTAGACTCGCAATAAGGGACGTACTGAAAATAATCATATGTTGTGCTGTACTTCATAATATGGCTAAATATTTGCAGGATGAGTGGGACTATGGAATAGAAAATAATAACGATGATCATGAATCTGTCTCAGAAATTGTTGAGCAAGAGCAAAGAGACATTAGACGTCTTGGTGAAGAAAGCGCTTAGAAATAGTCCAAATAATAAATCAGTTGAATTCAGTTTAAATAACAAAATATGTTTCCAACATATTTATCACAGGTAATAGGTATCAAATAAAAATTATGTAGCTCTTAAATACAGCTATTCGAATTAACACGATACTATATCTACTCGTACCAAATGTTCTGATACATATTATAAATGAGAAATTATAGATGAATTCTAATTATCCATAAATGTGTTAGAAAACTTAATTTAACAAAAGAAAATCTTGCAACCTAAATTCCGAATTAACTAAAGGATCGTCATTCTTTTGGGTATTGATAGCTTCGTTTTTCAGTTGGAGTTCCTATTTTTCAATTTGTAGTCTAGTTAGTTTCAGCTGCTCTAGTAGTACTAAGCGTTGAAGTTCAGGGGTTGATAAACCTACAGTTTCTTCTGTTTCTGCTGCTAACAACCTTTCTTTTTTGCAGCATGTTCTTTGCGTAAAATATGTCTCTGCTGATTACCCTTTCTTGTTTCTGTTGTTGTTTCGCTTACATTTAACTGTGTGGGAAGTAAAACACATTTATTACTGGAATCTAGCCCAACTGTTATTGCTCCTGGTATTTTACTGTATACAGGATTTTCTTCAGCATTTAAAATTTTTCGAAAATCTTTTTCCCATTGAAGTAGCTTGATTGGTTTATTTCCTGTTGATGACAAGTCAGTTTTTTTCTTAACAGTGCTTTTCATATTGTTAAGTTTTTTCAACTGATCTATAGCTACGTTTTTCCCAGTATATTTTATGAATTCCTCTCTAGTTATCATCCAGGCGGTTCCTTTTGGTACCATTGACTTATTTAGTACTATTTTATTGTTTTCTAGCTGCAATATTCTGACTAGCTGTGCTCGGTTATCAGAAACAAGTTTCGGTTGTTTACTTTCTTCGTCATTAGAAGACATCCTAATTGTTAATAATCTTGAGCTTTCGTGTGTTCGAATTAAAAATAACTTAGTTAAACAAGAATATACAGAAACTTAAAGAGATTTATACGATGCGTAAGGTTTACAAAGCAGATACTCGTAAATAAGACGATTTAAATATGTGAATAAGGATAAACAAGCTAAGACTTGCACGCGCAGCAAGTATTACCTCAATATTAACAAGTAGACCTTTCTGAGTCATGCCTTACAATGACCCTAATGAATAAAAATGTGAGTTTGCTTTTGCCTTCAGCAATTGCTTAAAGTTGCAGCAATTGCTTTTAGATAAAGCTTTTTCTTAAAAAACACCAGCTATTGCTTAAACATGCTTAGAATGGGATGAATAAAACACGCAATTGCTGTTTCTAGTGTAGTAATTGCTATTAGATATTTAAAGTAGGTCGATCCCAGCTTGCATTTGCTTTTACTGAAACTTTGTTCGTTCTACTACATATACGGATTGTTTTTACTGATTTGGAATTTGGTAGTTATGGCCGAATATATGAAAATTCGTATAAAAAAGTACACAGTGTACGTAAAGAGTCCGAGACAATGATTTCCGAAAATTATATCGCTTTAATCGCGAAAATGTGGAGTGGTTAGCGCATTATTTTTTGGCTGACAGCGGTGAAAAGCGAGGAGGAGCCATAGAAAGTTTTTATTTTTAGGCAACCTGTAAACCTGCAGAAAAACACAAATTATACAGCCAGCGTCAAATATTAAAAAAGAGGAAGAAGATAAAATAAAACCCGGTAATGAATCACAACAGCAAAGCGAAATTAATAAAAATAAGATTGCTCTACTCGAAAAAAATCTGAATGCTTTGTATTCTGCCAGAGATACTATGCCAAGCCGTGCTGAAGTTGATAAACAGATCATTAAGGAAATAAAAACAGCAAAACAGTCTTTAAATAGGAAGGTTCAAAACGCAGTTGCCCAGAAGACACACAGGGATCGTATGAAATGAAAGTTAGAAGATATTTGTCATGAAAATCCAGAAATAAAAAAAGACTATCTCTGAGGGATTCAGTGGGACGTCCTAATCTTGAATGCAATCAACATTCACTATTGAAAGCAATCGCGGATATAGCTTTATTTGGGAATGCAGCAGATGACGAACGGAATCAATTCGCGGCGTAAAAACTCTTGATGAACGCACACAAGAATTACGTAAAATAGAATTTGACATTAGTCGCAGTAGGACATATCTTCGTTTGATTCCCAGAAAATCTAATTCTGCAGAGGGACGAAGACATGTATCGACAGTCCCTGTTAAGCTCATTCGGGCTCAAACTGATCACCACATGAGCTACTTAGATAGCAAGTTCGCTGAAACATCAAACCATTATTTAGAGAACATAGCATCCATACTTGGACCAGATCAAGTATTTTAAGATCTTAAGATGATAAAGCTCGAGTCCCTATTGGCGTAACTGCGGCAAATAAGCAAGCACCTCTTCTAATGCACATGGAATATAGAATCAAATTGCCTGATCACGATTGGGGAATCGCTGAGCGTCATAAATTAATACCATCTGTTTATGCTATCACTTCCAATATGTTAGGACAACCGCAAGCCGTTGGATATTCTGGACCAACATACATCGCTATTCGAAGTGGAAAGCATAGTTCATCTACTGCTAATACTCATGCTCAGGATTTCGAGACGCTTCTCGAACTTGAAGAGTTTCGACCATTAGCTAAAACTGACCATGGACTAGTAAAACCAGTGGTAATAATGACGGTTGATGGAGGGCCAGATGATAATCCACGTTATCAAAAAGTCATAGGGTTTGCTATACAACACTTTAAGCGACATGATCTCGATGCATTGTTTTTAGCTACCAATGCTCCTGGTAGAAGTGCGTATAACAGAGTAGAGCGCAGAATGGCTCCTCTAAGTCGGGAACTGGCTGGTTTAATATTGCCTCATGACTATGTTTGGTCTCATTTGGATGAACGTGGCGTTACAATTGATAAACATTTCGAAAGATCTAATTTCGAATTTGCAGGAATTGTATTAGCTGAAGTATGGAGTTCAATGGAAATTGATGGCTATAATGTTAATGCAAACTATGTTGGGGCAGGTGAACAAGTTCTTCCTGATTTTCCAGACATGGTATTCAGAACATGTGCGTGAGAGCCAATACTTGCTTCAAATTGTAAAATGTAGAAATACAGAATGCTGTTGTCCAAGAAGTGGACTATTTAGATTACTAGACAATACGTTTCTTCCACCACCTGTAAAAGTGAAACAAACAGTTGATCACTTGGTTTTGGATGAAGGAAGGCAATTTCTCAATCTTCCAGTCAATTTAGCTCTAGGCTTAAGTGCTTCACTCAAAGATTTCCTGCAAATGCCCTACGATTTTTTTGTCCGACGGTAAAATTGAGGCTATCAAGTCGAACATGCAAAACTTGTGACCTTTATCATGCTTCCGTCAAGTCACTAAATCGTCACCTCGAAAATATCCATAAAAAAGTAAACACGCACACTGATAGGAAAGTTAGACCTGTAAGAGTCGCTGCTCGTCGTGCTAATGAACTGATGTGCATTATTCAAAATTTAGAGCACCATGATGTTGAATGGCTGGATGAGAATGACTTAGACATTCCAAAATCCGATGAAAGCGAGCAAACTCACAACACTGAGCAGCAATCGAAGCAATCCAATGTCATCGAAAACTTAGAATCATGGATTCGGGTTTCATGGACTGAAGACTGTTAATTTGAATTTAATATATGTATCAAAAATTTAAAACAAGTTTGTTATGTTAGTAAGATATAATATTTTTGTCCTTTACTCTATGTTGAATACCGTATCAGTAAAATATAATCTCTATCCTAAATCTATTTTCTTATTTTTCAAATTATAATTATAACGTTATAATTATAATATTAAAAAAAAACAATACATTAATTGACAAGCGTTTACGTAAGCATGGGGGGAGGGGGTAAGAGCTTTGCTTATTTTTGCTGTCAAGGGGGATGGGGGGTAAATAATTGTAATAAATCTGCTTACGTAATACTTGAACGGTCCCTTATGTTTTATCTGTGACCTGGAACTTGCTTTTTTCTTATTAAAATATAATATGGTTTTCAATGTTTGCCGGCAGTTGAATCGAGGTTGTCAATATGATCTCCCTAAGGGGCTTTCCCAGTTCTATTGAACTTAGGCAGTCCGAATGTCAGAATATTTATTGATCGACCAGCCAAAGATTGCTAGGGACGAAAGGGGGAAATGCGATGAAAAAACCTTACCATTAGACGATTTTATATGGAGTCATAGGCGGAGATCGGAGAGACTTGAATTATTAATTGAATTTATATTTTATTACAACTGGTAGTATTAATATTTTTTTGCGATTCATAATGACGTGATACCAAACATACATTATAAGAAATAAATATACACAAACACTGAATATTGAGAACAAAATAAATATATTTTTTAGGCAACAAGTAATATTCCTATGTACGCATTATGATTGAACAGCAAAACAAATTATGCATTCTTCTAAAATAGAATACAACAAGTCAAAAATATCTGACTGAATAGAAAAATATAGGAAAACAAAAAGTAATTTCTTGATGAAATAACCCATAAACAACACATAGAATTAGACTTTCTACTGAGATACTAAAAGCCACAAACCAATAGTATAATAAATGAATATCTAAAAATTCTAAAAGGTAGCCAATCTAGTATAGTTTCAATCCTGATTAGAGTCATGATCACTGTCTGAGGAACTGTCATTGCTATCACTTTCACCTCCTATGTTGATTATTATTTCTTCCTGTATTTCTTGAATGAGAGTGTCTTTTTCCCAATATTCATCTTCAATTTTTATAACATGTCCAATAACCTTTTGCCAGTCACTGGCACTTACTGAAGCGATGGCCTTATTAGAAATTTCATCTAGTTTTTTTATAGTAAATTCGCCGCTTGTATTATGGCTTCTAATGAAAAATTTTACTTGTGCCCAAATCATCTCTATGGGATTAAACTGACACATATAGGGTGGCGTTCGAAGTGGGGTGTGTCCGAAACTTCTTATTAAATTATCTATCTTATAATTTTTCTCATCAGATGGTGGCCTATGTAGACAAGCTATTTCATAAAGCTCCATTTTTTTAGCATTAGGATCATGCTCTATACCTTTTTTGCTCAACCACGTGATGATGTCTCTTTTTAGAGAAGATCTAGTTGGAGGCTTGTCTTCCAAAGCTGAATGGTAAGGTGCATTATCCATTATTATAATACTATTAGGAGGAATGTTAGGAAATAGTTTTTCAGTAAGCCACTTCGTGAAATTTTCTTGGTTCATTTGACCGTGATAATCACCAGTGGCACAGCCAGCCTTGAAAATGAGACAGGCTCCAGGAACAAAACCATCTTGCGAACCCGCATGAACAATTATAAGTCGTCCTGGAAATGAATAAATAGCCTCATTTTAGTGTTATTTTAAGTTTGCCAACACCTTTTTGAATCACTATGTATAAAAAACATATTTTTGAGAAAAAAATACTTGCAAGGGATTATGTATTCAATTAGACAAATTAAATGAGCACTTATTAAGAATATTCCAAAATTGAGAAAAATGTATAATAAGCAAAATCGAGGTGAAAGAAACTTTATTACCTGTAGAACTTATATTGCTCAGGACACCCATAATTTCTTCGCTTTGCCAGCATTTCTTGAAAGTGAGGTCATTATCAACCCAAGTTTCGTCCAAATAAATAATATGCCTTCCTTCTTCCCGGAACTTTTTAATAGACCTAAGATACTTGTATCGCCAATGTAAAATACTGGGTCTTTCCATTAGTAATTTCCTTTTGTTGTGGCATTTACGCCAGTAAAATCCTTTTGCTTTTAAAAGCAGCCTCAACGATTCTTTACCAAATGGAAATTCCATTTCTTCCTTCAGTTTGATTAGAAGTTTACTACAAGTAGGTACCACTTTAAAATCACAGTAAAA